AGACATTCCTGAATAGAAAGAGGTAAATTGTCGTAACAAATATTACACTTCACCACAAAATCATTTCTTTGTATCCAATATTTTTCTGTCCAACTTTGAAATGTATGGCTGTTCTGTTGTTCTTTAGAATGCAAATTCAAGTGATCTCCTACAAATTTAGATGTAGATAGAACTTTTGAATCACAGATAATACATTGTGAAAATAATTGGTTTGAATACTTGAAATACATCCATGGCCGTTTTCTTAGTTTTCCCCCTTCTTCGTATTTCCAAATTTCTTCATGGAGTTTTGCTATATGACGTATAAAGTTTCCATTATCTATATAATTATATTTATTTTCACAATACTTGCACTGTGCTTCAAAATCTGACAGCTTTATATAATATTCCCATATATGTTTTTTAGTTGCAATATCTAATGGCATAAAAGTTACGTTCGTTTCAAGTGATGAAACACGTTCTGACGAATCAACTAAGTCATGTGTTTCTTGCATAATTTTCAATTTGTCCGAATGTTTTTTTCTTATATGATAATCCAGATGTTTTTGAATTTGAAGAGATATGTTGTTGTTACAAATATTACACTCCACCTCAAAATTATTTCGTTGTGTATAATATTTCCGTTTCCAATTTTGAAAGATATAATTCTTCCGTTGTTCTTCAGAATGCGAATTCAAGTGATCTTGTAAATCTTCAAATTTAGAGGTAGACAAAATATCTGCATCACACATAATACATTGTGATAATAGTTGATCTGAATACTTGAAATACATCCATGGCCATTTTCTTAGTTTTCTCTCTTCTTCGTATTCCAAAATTTTTTGTGGTTTTTTTCTATGTGACGTTTAAAGTTTTTATCATTTATATATTTATATTTAAATTCACAATACTTGCACTTTGCTTTAAAATCCGTCAGATTTATATAATATTCCCATATATGTTTTTTAGTTGCAATACATAGTGGCATAGATATTACTTTTGTTTCAAGTGATGAAACACGTTCTGACGAATCAACTGGGTCATGTGTTTCTTGCATATTTTTCGACTTGTTCAAATGTTTCTTTTTATATGAAAATCCAGATGTTTATGAATTTGAAGAGATATATTGTTGTTGCAAATATTACACTCCACCTCAAAATCATTTCGTTGTGTCCAATATTTCCGTGTCCATTTATGAAGTATATGATTCTTCCGTTCTTCTTTAGAATGCGAATTTAAGTGATCTACTAAATCTTCAGCCTTACATGTAGAGGGATAATTTTCATTACAGATAATACATTGTAAAAATGATTCGTCTGAATACTTGAAATACATCCATGGCCATTTTATTAGTTTTCTCTCTTCTTCGTATTCCGAAATTTTTGTATGTAATCCTTTTATATGACGTTTAAAGTTTGCATCTTGTATATAAATAAATTTAATTT